TGATGCAAAGTGGGAAGCTGCCAAAAATATCCTAGGGCATCTCGGGTGGCTTTGTTTCGGCAGTGGGATCCCATCCTGCATTTCTCAAGTCTCAGGTTACCTTCCTACCAAGTAACTCTTCCATGAATCCTCCTCACAACGCAGCTTCTTGGTTGTATCAGCAGAGCCCTCAATGGAAAGCAGAGTAGTCACAGTCCTGAGCTCTGTCCTGAGTTAATTTGGGAGTAGCCCCCAGCTGAATTGTTTCCGTGGGATAAATACTGCAGGAGGTAGGCATCAGCAGTTCCTATAGCTGAACTATTGAGGACTGCAATTTAATTGGGCGTAACGGAAGAGCAATCTCTGTTTTACAGTCAGGATTCAACGGACCTTTCGCTGGGGAAAGTTGCAAACTTAAGCATTCCTGTTGTGTCCCTGTACCTGCTTGTGGGTTTTTTTTGTCCCATTCCCAAGCTACGCCACTAAAGAAACACTGTTGGGGATTTGCTAATGGAGTCATGGAGGGGATGACAAGGCTTTATCCTGACCATGGCTGGTGCCAGCACCTTCGGCTGTGTCTACATTAGCAGTTATCGAGTTCAGCACCTTGTGCCTGTGGCGGACACAAGGCATCTCTAACAGGGAGGTAATGTTTTCTTCATGCAGATGGATTCCTTCAGCCAGGATGGCTGATGGGGTAGTACACCAAAAATGCCGCAGGCACTGGTAAGAGGACCAGGAGGAATGCCGGGGAGGAGGTGAGGGCACGCTGTTGAGAGCAAAGGCTTGCTAGTCCTTCAGTTAAATTTAAAAGCTCAGGATTTCTTGCATAAAAGGCTGATTGTAGTCAGATTTTTTTTTTTTTTGCTTTTCACCCTGAGGGTAGTGGAGGAAAAGAGTTGCCATCACTTAATTGCTGTTCTAGATTCACATGGTTGTAGTCTACCTAGGCCAGAGCTGCTGGGTGGGCAATAAGGCTGTAACCCAATGGATGTGAGGATGCTGGTGATGACCATTAGCAGTACCGAGCCTGAGAGACAAAACAGTGGAAAAGGCACTAACTCTTCATGAATAATTGAATAATGAAAGCTGCTCAAGGAGTTAATGAATTAGGGTGCCATCTACCTCCAAGGTTATAAAAGTCAGGAAAGGCAGCCTCTGAGATGCGGTAGGAAAAGGCAGATTTACTTTTCCAAGGCTAGGCTGCATTTATTAGGGAAAAAAAAAAAAAATCACTGTTGGACATGTGCGATATATTAAAGGCAGTGCTGTCTCTGACAGTGGCGAAATGTTATTTACCACTGCAATGTGGTCATTGAATTTTTACTTTCATATATAGGATTTTGTCTGCAACAGTTGCATAGCTGAATGAAGACTGTGAGAACATTGAGGTCAGAGCTGCCAATTAACCTCCTGATTTCGGAGGCTGATTACTAAATTAATCAAAGACCAGACCCAGCTGAGATGATGGGGAAAAGGTGGTAACAATCCAAGGAAGGGCTGAGTTAATCATGCGGTGATGAGCTTGGTAGGAATGGGATGACGGGTGGTCAGAAAAGACACAGCCTTTTCAAGCTCATGAGAAGGGGCAGTGTGTAAGGCACAACCCTTCAGTCTTGTGAGAAGAGTTTGGATACTCTATTTTCCTTACATACCCCCAGCAATTGGAGGGTTCCCTGTATAGCAGTAATTTAGTGAACAAACTGGTATATGATACTCCCCCAGACTGGCTTGCTCCCCTTGATAAAGCAAGATAGAGCTGGGGGGAAACCTGAAGCAAAGGAAATACTTTGCTCGTACATCATCTCCACAAGCCACTTGGAAAGGTGGAGCTGAATTAACCGAAGGTAAGGAGTTGGCCAGCGTTACCTCTCCCTGTGAGGATGCTCTCACTCAGAAGTAAAGGAACACGTAGTTCTCTTTAACCATTAAAGAGTTCCTGTCCTTGTCTGGGGATTAAGCTGAATTGGATTAATGCCAAAGTACTTCTGAGCAGGGTGGCCATCCTCAGTGGCGTTTAAGGCACTTTAACTTAACACACTGAATTATCCTTTTGTCCCACCCGGAGCACCTCACTAAAGCAGTACAGAAGATGAGAGGAGACTCGCATTCTCCTGATGCACTTGCAGTGATTCTCCTCTTCTCAGAGGTGAATCACAGGCGAGTCCATGGCCTTGCAGTTACCATCCTACATTCTTCCTTCACTACGCTTGGGAAGTCGATGGAAGCACTTTCTGGCAAATACTTGAGCAAAAACTTTTCCAGCTCACTTGGGAAACAGTAATCCTCTAGCGTGGGCTGTATAAGCCCAGCCAAAAACCTTCCTTCATTCTCAAGCAGTCATCTTGCCGAAGTTTCTGCTATCCTGGTGCTGGATTCTGAACTAGCTAAAATAAAGACATATGGCTTCCACGTGCTGCAATTATGTCTCTGATCACAGCACAGACAAAGCCTTAAATCTCTGAATGACAAAGAGGTACCTAAGTGAGGAAGTCTATTTGTTTGCTGTTAGAAAAAAAAAAAACAAACAAATTCTCTCTAACCCTGGACTGCAGTGTTGATAAAACAGACTGACTTGGGAGACATCTCTAGTGTATATTAAAGTAAAGCCAAGCTCTGTAATTAATGGGGGGATAAATCGAGGTTTAATTACTCAGAAGGCACCTTGGGTGAAAGATTCATGGTAATTGTTGTGTATCCTCTTGAAGGATTCACAGTGCTGGCGGCTCCCTTTGTAGCAGTAAAACACCGGGTGAGTGGCAGGCAGTCTCACAGGACCTCTCTTCTAGGGACTAGTCCAGTTAAGGCAGCAAATGCAAAGAGGCAGTGGTGCTCTTCAGGCTTTTTATCACAATAAGAACCCCTTCCCGAATCTGAAGGGATTCCTAAGCAATGTGTCAATTTGAGATCAAGGCACTTACAGTCAAATCAAGGGTAGGTTGGAGGAGGTTTCCCTTACAGGTCGCTTCCTCCAGATGCAACCACGCAGAGGCGTATTTCTTACCATTTCTCAACTTTCTTGCTTCCTGTAGCGTAACACCTTTCTCTCGGGTTCTGTGTAGAAAATAAGATGTGTGTGTGCGGGGAAAGGGATGCTATAGCTTTGCATTTTGTAGCACGTTGTTGAAAGGCTGGCTGAGCAAAAGAAAAAACCATCCCACCAAGACACGTCTGTTTTCCTTATTCCCCAGTTTATTATCTTCTGGTCTCCAGGGGCCAGGAGGAAAGGAATCTATCTTGCCTGTTTCTTTACTCTGCCTGCTTAATTCACTTTTTAAAAATTTAATTAACCTTTTCAATTCACTTAGTTTGGCTAGCACTGTAGATGCGGCACAAAGGCTCTGTGCTGATGACGTGTAACAAAGTACCTGTTTTCTTCCCCTACATAGAGCTGAAGAAGCAAGTGGAAAGTGCAGAACTAAAAAACCAGCGTCTGAAAGAAGTTTTCCAGACCAAGATCCAGGAGTTTCGCAAGGTGTGCTACACGCTAACGGGGTACCAGATCGACATCACGACTGAGAACCAGTATCGACTCACCTCTATTTACGCCGAGCACCAAGGAGACTGCCTGCTTTTTAAGGTAGGCTGTGCACCCCTCGCTGCACCTGCTTCTTTGGGTGCATGGGTTTTGGTATGCCAGACTGTATTTTCTCTTTCTCAGTGATTAGACTGGAAAATCACTGCCCCTCTGCTATGTGACTGGGTGTTCCTTATGGGGGAAGTAAAGATCATTTCTTCTTTTAAAAAATTACCTTAGAAGGTTTGGCATCTGGTCTCCCACTTATATATCAAAGTCAGGAGGAAAGACAAGAGCCTCTATATGCATAATACCTAAGGCATCTGGCCTTGCACTTCACCTTTTTTTATTATCAGTTATATATGCCATGGCAGTAAAACCTTATGTAACCATTGAGGTTTCATCCTTACTTCGCTGTGAGTTATATATCCTTACTGTCTTTGCTATCCTCTAGCTTGTCTGCATGTCATCAACTTGTCTTTATGTAAATTGGAATTCCTTTTGAGCAGCAACTCATCCTTGTGTCTGTGAAGTGCCATTTACGTGAACAGCACAGATGAATAGCAATAAAAGTCTGTCTTCTGCCAGTCTGATACCTTTATTGGTCTAGGTAGGTGGTCTGAGGTTGGATTCTGGCTTGATAGGCACTGTTTTCCTTCTGCGTTACCTTCCAGCTAGCACAGTTGGGTTGATGCATTAGAGGGCTGAGGTGTGACGTGAGAGTCATCGTCAAGCTGTTACGTAGATTCACATGTCACCAGCCCAGGTTTACAGGTCAGTGAGAGAACATTCTCCTTCTTGGTGGCAAACGCCACTGGCACTTAAAATCATACCTGACTCCCACAGAGCCCCCTGGGGTGAGTCTCATTTATGAGAAGGATGAGAGTTTTGGAGCCATTCAGTACAGGAGGGGACTCTGCAGGCAGGACCTGGAGAGGTTCTGTTTCCAGACCTACTGCTGTGTGCCGCATGTGGATTGCTGCAGTATTGTTTCTTTATATAACAGGACAAATGTTTTCCTGTTCTGCAGCTCTAGAGCATCAGAAAATAAAGCAAGTGAGGGTAAGTATAAGACAGCACCTAGGATCATTAGTAGAACTAGGAAAATGTTGCCAAAACTGTTGTATTACTTGGCCTTATGATGCTTCTGGACTGAGACAAATGACAGTAAGAAAATAAAGTTCACTGTCTGGGGAAGAGGACGGCTCTGTTAGTTTCAAGGTACCATCACTGAACCCTGAAAACAGTTCTCGTTGAGATGGTACAATGCTGTTAGCTCTAAGGCCTCTAGAGGCCTGTACTCACACCTGTACCCTTAAACATGTAGGGAACGAAACTTCAGCAGGCTCCTGGAGATGTCTGTTGGACGCCATGCCCAGACAGTACAACTAGGAGCTCTTTTTGCGTCATAGGAGAGATGGAGTGCTTGGAGAAAGTTAAGAAAACATGAGAAAATTGCATATGGGCCACATAGACAAGAGCTGGCTGGCTTCAGTAGTTTGTCTTCAGTAGGAACAAATATTCCTTCATGTCATGGCAATAGAAATAATTTACTTGCAGAAGAACGAATAATCAAGTAGGAATTCCTCTCCCTAAACACTCTTCTTTCTTTCTCTTCTTCACTCAAGTCTTTATTTCCAACTATGTCCAGAGGATGGAGGTAAGTGTCGCCAGGTAGAGCAGCAGCAGTTTCAAGATCTTGCATTTCCCAGAGCCAAGGGTGGATTGCTTATTGATTCATGGAATTCCTCAGCCTCTCTTACCTCATACACCTCTTTGGGTAAGAGAAGCAGATTTTCTAATTAGAGCCTGAACAACAAAATCTCAGACTCTTTCTCCGTGTTCAGTAAATTGCAGACGGTTCCCACTCTCTGCAGCTTAGAATAGTGGTAGAATATAAACAACAAATTATTTCCTTGCTGAGTCCAGGCAGCTGGTTCTCATGTATGTACCAGGCTTGAATCCTGGCTACGGCTTCCAGCAAGGTTGTGTGTTTATGCTGTGGAATTTCTGAGCCGAGGCAGGCTGTGGGTGTTTGTGTGCGTTTCATTAACCCACAGAGGTCACAAAGCAGGGATTGCTATTTATATTTATTCCATTCAAGCAATTTATAAAACGGGGTCTATATAATTAAGTCAGGGAAGTCCCCTGGCACTTTACAAGCTTCTGTAGTTTGCCTGTAAACTTTGGAGCATATTTCAGTAGCACTGCTGGTGACATTTTATTTTCAATAGCAGGGATGCAATAGGAGCTACTGTAACGTAACCCCTTCAAAGTTAAATGAAGATGAAAGATGTGCTTGGTTTTCCTGACCAAGATATGCTGTTACTGTAGTAGAGCTTATTAGGTACATGCTGTATGTGTCCAGCCACTTCACATTAATTGGAATTACAGCTTCAATGAAAGGGTTAATCACAGTGCCATGCTGCGAATATAAATGACTGCTTCTATAAATGAGCACTGAATTCCAATGAAACCGTATCAGCGTGTATTGGCGATCCCTATTGATGCAACAGATGAGCTCATCAACTTGAAGGATGTTCCAGTGATTTTCAGACTCTCTGTGTGAGCGTGTGGGCAGCAAGGTGCATCTCGGGCTTCACAGCTCGCTCTCGCTTCTTTGCTCTTTTTTATTCTTTCAATTAAATGCTGTGGAAAGCGGCGTTGCAGATTTGTCACCAGGAGTTTAGTTTCTGATGATTTTGCGGGGGAATGTAATGCATTATAGGTACTAGGGCACTTGACAGTTTCATGTTCTGTTACCGTGGCTGGTACATTAGATGTGTTAGGCCATGGCACAGACTTTGTGTTCTGCGTGACACTTGGCTGGTGCGTCTAGGCCAGGCCACCGATGAGATACCCAAGAACTGTATTGACTCCCTTTGTAACAACAACCTATTAATACATCTGTTAAAACAAACAAACGTTGCTGGGGAGCCTCAAAATCAGCTCAGCCAACTTGGAATTAAGCTGTGGCAAACCAGGATGTCATTGCTTGGCCATGTGTACATCACGCTGTTTACCCTTGTTTCTGGGTAGATCCTGAATGAGAGTGAGGAAACGAGGTCTTTAGAAAGGCAATGACAATTGTTTCAGACAAAGAAAGTATTTTGGTAAACAGAAAGACTGGTCAAATTTGTAGAGTGGATGATTCGGAGACACTTGTACAAATGAACAAACAGTGTAGAGAAATTAAATCATGGGCTTTGTCTTTTTGTGTGCCTAAAGACACAATCCCAGCCAAAGCATTTGAAGCCAATCAATTTAAAATGAAAAGAGTGGAAATCCTTTTATTTTGTAGACCCTATGGCTTCAAGGTGCTGCTGAGAGCAGGAGCTCAGATTTTTTAAAATGTTAAGATATCTTTGTGGACACTTAGTAATATCTAGTTTAGATTAAATATTTACATTTAACTTAAGTAGGGACATGCTGAGCTCTCTGCTTTAAGGTGTAAAGGCAATCTCTTACTACAGATGTTACGAAGAAAATTCCCATGCAGGCTGCTTATTTTCTGGGTTCTGTCTACATATGGTTTTGCTGCTGTAGCTGGCAACATTTGACTCCATGCTCTGGAAATACTTGGGAAAGAAGACTTGAGAGAGGAAGAAGAGCGCTCAGAGAGAGGAAGAAGAGGCTCAGAGTTGCTCCGCTGTTGTGGCATGAATGTGGTGCTGGTCACTATCCTTGATAGGATCCTGGACTGAAAAGGCAATTGATCTGAGCCGGTGTAACAGCTATATCAGATCTGGTGGTGTTTGAAATGTTTCTGGTTTCAGGTTCCTCTCTCAGAAAGGAGTGCTCAGATTTCTCAGTAATTCATGTATGAATTATTTGAATCTAAGTTGGTTGGTAAGGACGTTAAAACAGGCAAACTCTTTCCATTATCACAGCGATGTTATTTATCTGAGCTCTTAAATACTCTTGGCCAAAAGGCTGCCTTTAGGCAGATATTTTCTATATCCTCAGAGCCCAGTCTTGCAGAGGACAGAATTCTGTCTGCTTCCAGGTCTCGCCCGTGTTGTTATTTTCTGTCAAATATTTTCTGTCAAAAATACCAAGTGGAAACCCAAATGCCAGCAGTAGTTCATTGAAGAGCATCCCCAAGATTGTGGGCTTGATGCCTTGAAAGAGAATACCCAAGTTATCAGACAGCAAACAAAACCAGAAGCATCATGACAAAGCTGGAGAATGTTGCCAGCTGCAGGACTGGCACTTCTTGCTGCAGAATAAAACCTTTATTGGTGTCCTGTTGGATTGGTAATACGGTAATAAAATCAACAGCTTTTCTGCAACCTATTAAATTAACAGCCAGCACACACACGCTGCCTTTGCACACCTCTTTAGGGAGTTACCTAAAGAGTTGGTTTGCAGATCTATAAGGGGAACTGTCAGTCTTGAACTTCGAGGCAATGTGAAAAGTGAACACTTGCTTCTGCTGTGGTTCACCATGAGTGCAGAGACAGAACATAGCGAAGTGAAAGGGATAAAGGCTTCGTATGGAAGAAGGGTGCAGTGGAAGGACAGATACCACCTTTGACTTCCCAGTCTTCCTTTGCTTGACTCATTGCTGTGTACTCGGCCGTCCTGTTGCCTCTATGTTGACAAGGTGTGGAAATGAATAGGGCAGCTATGCAGACAAGAAGTAATAGTTTAATTCTCTTTTCTTGAGGAGGGAAATGAGGCTGGACTGAATAAGAAATACTTCAGAGGCTATTTTTCAAACACAAAGTGATGCTGACAAAGTGCTGGCTGAAAGGGGAAGACAAAACTCATGTGGTTAAACCTGCAGAGAGAATCCAGTGTGCTGGGATCCCAGCGCAGCCTTAGCATCACGTTGGCCAGGGCCCACCGGTGAACAATGTACATCTCAGAAGGAGCAGAATGGTTTATACAGGGATTATTTTTACTCACTTGAGTGCTTTTGTTCTGTCTTGAAGCTGACAGCACTGGTGGGAGCTCTGGATCCCAGTCCACATGCTTGGCATACCTACAATTTCAGGTTTTTTCCTCCTTGAACCCAGCAGAGTATCTCTGAGAAGCCTGTTCTAGCTGTTTGTTTCTTT